GATACATATCATAGCACATCGCTCACAACACAACGCCCCCCCCCCCCCCCACTCACCAAAATAGAAGGAAAAGAAAGAAACCACCTCAAAAAGCCACAATCCCCACACAACACGACCTCCCTCAAACCCCTATCGAAAAAGAAAGAAGAAAAAGAAAAAAAAGAAACAAAAGACCCACAAGCGACAGACAGACCACATCCAGCAACTCAACCCATCCCCCCCGCAAAAGCCTCCACAATCACGCAATCCCTAAGCGCAACAGTTGCCGTACAAGTACCGTATCGTTGTTAGAACTAACCGTGGCACCCTGAGACAAAACCTTATACGGTAGTATCATAATACCGGTATCCGAAACCCCCGCGATCGGCCTTAATCGCTCACGCTCAACGCAGCATTCCGGTGGAGTGCAGTACGGGTACGGTACGGTATTTCAGCTACGGTTATCGCGGGGTACGGTGGGGTACGGGTCGGTATCATACAGTACAGTACTGTACTAGTACTCGTACATAGCACCCCACCATCTGATGGATGGAACCCCTGAGCATCGCTCTCATCGCGGATCGCTTAGCGTCGGCTCCTACTCTTGTGCAAGGTACCGTACGGTAGGGCAGAGTGCTAGCACTCGAGTATAGTTTTCGAGTACGGTAAGGTACGGTGGAGAGCGCTACCGGTACCTACCGTACTGTACCGTATTACAATATTATGATGGATTGTTTGAGCCCCTCCGAGAGACAACGCGCGAGAGCCAATCGTTCCAGAGGTTCCCGATGCTCCCTCGCCGATCCTCGCATACAATTCAAGTCACGTGAGATGGCACAGTACGAGTATAATACAGTATGATACCGCGCCAACATCACCGGTAATTAGTTATTGTTGCTTGTACTTTCTGGATCGGGGAATGCGAGTTCGGGTGGACTACCGTAACTTGGTGAAAAAGAAAAAAAAAACTCGTAGAGTCGTTTCAATTTATTTCAACCCCCCACTTCTACCGCTAACAAAAGTTACAAAACTACTCGAGTACCGGCGCTCGAGTGCTAACAGTTTGATATATCATACACAACAACACCTTGGCACTGTAGATGGATAGGAGAGACAAATTGGTGCGCCGTTAACCGATGGACACTGACTTACCGTGTCAGGATACATGTATAATGAAGAAAGCACAAGGTTACTCGTCAATTCAAAGAGTATCCGGAAATCTGCACCTCGAGCCCCTGAAAACCACATACGAATTTGCGAGTCTTTTGGCAGCACAATGTCCGGATACTTTTGGAATTGGCGAGCGGAAGAGAGAAGGGAAAAAGAAAAAAAAAGGAATAAATGTTAATCACAGCGTAAATCATAACGTGTCGTATCCGTTACATGCATGGTCGTTTTCGCGGATGGATGCATGCATGCATGGGGGAAGTGTGGAGGAGGGTACTATACAAAGCAGACCAAGAAAGGTATGGTGGAAACGAAGGAGAAGGAAATTATCATGTAAATCAATCCGATACCCAGACCAAGACCAAGCCGTGGAAAATAGGAAAATAGGCGGAGGAAGAAATAAAACCCCGAAAACCAGTCCCGCTAAAATGAAGGTTGACAGAAAGCAAGTGCAAACTCCGCGATAAAAAAAAAGGAGAAACGTAAACGTGAAAAAGGTATGATAGAAAGGTATAAGTGGAAGAAGAGAAATGAAGAGAAACCCCCGTCCCCACCCCAGTCATTAGTTTGAACAAGAAAAAAGAGCGCTCGCTCGGTGGTAAGAACGGAACCCAAAAGAAAAATAAAAGGGTTGTGGAAAACGAGGGTAAGAAAGGCAGAAAGGGTGAGAAATGAGAAAGGATTAGATCAATCCGCCCGCCGAAGCCCCCTTAACCGGCTTCCTGGCGTACGCGACCAGCATCCTGAAAGCCGTTTTCCTCTCCTCGCACTCCCTCAACAACCCACGTTCATTCCACATACTCCTTCTCATAGCCTCGCCCTGACTTGTAATCACTCGTTCGTAGCATCTAGTATACCACCACCGACCGACGCGCGCGAGCACCGCGCTATTAGCCTCGTCGCCACCGGTGATGGGGACGTTGGAGACCACCGGCAAGCCGACAAAACACTTGTGCGTGTCCTCGAAACCGCGCCTGGACAGAAGTCTGAGTACCTTCTCCGACTGCGTGGACGTGGAGTTGGAGGAAGTGTAGTTCTCGCGGTGCATGATGGTCTTGGCGAGATCCACAGCTTTTCGCGCCTTCGGGCCGACGTTGCCGAGGAGGTCAACATCCAGTACTGTTGCTTCCAAGTAACCGCCTGGTTCGAGCACGCGCCGACATTCGGAGAGGAGGAAGGGGAGGCTGGAGTCCGAGGAGCTGGGGAGGAAGCGAAAGGATATCACGTTGAAGAAGCCTTTGGGGAAGGGGAAGGAGGAGAAGAGGTCTTCGTGGTGGATTTGTCGATGGTTTTGAGGCCTAGAGGGGGATGGCGGGGTGTTGGTGGTTTGTGGGTTTGAGGAGAGGGAAGAGGAGAGATTGTAGATCTTCGCAGAGGGGTACGAAAGGGCGCAGTAGAAGGACCAGTCATCTGTATGATTGTCAGTACCCTGGTAGCTTGATAGGCAAGGATGAATTACCTGTACCGAGACCATCGATAACAAGAACCCTACCGCCGCCGCTGGCGCGAGGACCAACTGCCGTTGTGATTTTTGCCATCATCTCATGTGCAGGACTGACAAGGACTCTATCAGTAGACAACCAGCGACTAGCCATGAGTGCCCAGAGTCGTACAGTCATCTCATCCTGAGACGTATCCAAGTCGATCGATCCAGTCGAGTCGGTGGACCTATGTGAGTCAGAGGACCCACCGGAGCCCCGGGATCTATGTGATCGCCGGCGCGGTGAGGTAGACGGAAGACTCAGATTCGGTGGTGGGGACGATTCCAAGTGAGCACTATGCCTACTTTGCACGCTGCCAACGGTCCCCCGGGAATCTCGATCGCGATCATCTCCATAAGACCTGATGAACGAAGAGAGGGAAAAAGGCGTGCCGGGGGTAAGGATCTTGTAAGCTGGCGGTGTAAACGGTGGGTTGGTGACCATGGGCAAAGGCGAGGGCAAGACAAGTGTAGGTGCAGCATTTCGAAGGGTTGGCGAGTCGTTGACTTTGGGTTCGCCCTTGTTATCAACTTCCTCTTCCTCATTAAGCTTCATTCCTTCATCATCTCGGAGGTCTGGGAATGCGCTGCAAAGGTCTTCGTAGCGGAAGGGGGAGCCAAGTGATGATGTCGTTGATTTTGTGCCAGGCTGCTCCTCTTCCGCTTCTGACTCTGCTATTGTAGCCTCTCCGAATAGTCCTGCATCAATAAGGTCATTGTACTCTGGCCAGATGTCTTCCTCTTCTTCGACTGGTTTCGGCGTTGGCTCCGGCACCGGCTCGGCAGTTACAGGGGTCGAGGTAGCAGAATCCTTTCTGACAGGCCATTCTGTACCGCATTGGCTAGCGTTCGGGGCATGGTCGGACACCTCCGCAACCATCGCTGCCGCCTGTACACCGTGAACATCGAGGGGATCAATCTGGCAGGAGGCCCTAGGTCGGTGGATCGCAGTGGTAGGCGTAAGACCAGACGAACCCCAAGGCACTTGGAAGCCCTCGTTCGCTCGGCGGAAGCCTTCCTCAAATAGACGATCCATTCGTGGTGGTGCAGTGTTGGCTTCAACCTCAGCGCGAAGAACCTGGGTCTTGATTGGGGGTAAGTTCTGTATTGTCTTTGTCTTTGGTGGAGCATGAGGGGGGGCGTGCGCGGGGGGGGCAGGAACAGTCTTCGGGTAAGCGGGTGGCGACAAGGTCGGCACATTTTGAGGAAGGCCAGGGGCTCCGGTTCTCGTAACTGGTGGGATCCGGCCAACCTGCTGGAGTCGCTGAAGGTATTTTCGTTCGTTTGCCTTTGCTGCACGTACTTCCTTGCGCACTTGCTCCGCGGCGCTTGGGGGGGCGGACCTCGATGGTGGTGGCGGCGATGAAATAGGCGGTGGGGGCAGTAGTGTTGGTGGGGGTGGTGGGGGAGTAGGTAAAGAAGGTAGAACGGCGGGTGCATCCCGAGAAATCGGCAAAGGAGTGGATGGCTGGGAAATCGTTGGTGGTTCATGGATACCACCCTGCTGCCTGATCGCATTTGCATAGTTATTGGTCGGATGCACGTGCTCCCGTCGCAGATCTCGAACCTGCTCTGCCAACTGTGCGGCTTCTTGCAGCTCCTCTTGGTCGAGAAGCGCATAATGTGGTTGGCGTCTGTAGGTATGTATCGCTTTTCGGACAGTAGTAGCCGGTGTTGCTCCCGACGTAGCGGTCGGGATCGGAGTGATCGGCGGTGCAGGAGTCGGCACCGGTGACGGAGTCGCGTTCCCCCGTGAACTGGATGCGCTACCCGACCGAAAGAAGCCCCATCGTCCCGATTTCCGCGGAGGGGCCTCAGGGCCCGGCGATGCAGGTAATTTTGGAGTAGTATTCCTCCCGGGAATCTTGAACATACTATCCGAGCTTCCTTCCCTTGACATGTAAACAGGACTCGGGCCCCGTTTCCCAATCTCCAAGTTTCTCTTCTCATTGTTGCTATCGGTACTTCCAGTCCTGATCATCGATTCACCAGTGTTTCTGTTCTCGACGACTGCTCCACCTCCAACAATAACAACCGGCTTCAGTCTGTCGCGCAGATAGTCATCCGGCTCACCACCCGAACTACCTCGCCTGCCACCTGCTGCTCTGCCTAGCGACCCACCGGTAGTAGAACTCGTACTGCCGCTCCTCACAAAACTCCCAATACTACTACCACCGGTAGAGCCACTCCTCCCTCTACAAGTAACCTGTTTCCCAAACGCCGCATACCCTTCATGTCCAGTACCCGCGGCAGGGCCCTTCCTCTTCTCCTTCTCTACCTTCCTTTCCCTCTCCTTCTCCTTCTCCTTCTCCCTCTCCTTCTCTTTTTCCCTTTCCCTCTCCTTCCCCCTCTCCTTCTCGTCCATGGACCCTGATGTCTTCGTCCTCCCTCGAGAAAAGAAGCTCGGTCGCGGCTTGCCAGGACTAGACCTTGTCGGTGACTTCTCTCGCCCAGACCCATCCTTACTCTCACTTCTCTTGGCCATGGTAGAAATGTTCCCAACTAATGAAGATGTAGGGATATTATGGTACAGACTGTTTTGAATAGCTATAGGATCTCGTGGTTGTGGTGTAGGACCCCTAGCAATAGGATTACTATTCTTCCTAGGAGGTGGGTGTCCGGCTGATGGTAATGGGGGGGTAGCGGTCTCTTTTCGACTGGCTCTTGTAGGTAACGAGAAAGCGGTGGTGCTGCTGAGGGACTTGCTTCGTCCTTTTGCCAGTCTGCCTGGAGGTGCCTGCGGCGGCATTGAGACGCCGAGACCCTTCGACATGTTCGCCAACTCTAGGGCACCTAACCTTGAAGAGATGGATGAAGTGCTATCCTTCCGTCCTCGAACACCCAAAGCAGGAGAAGGAGTTTTCGAATGCGTGGCGGACAGGAGCAAAGGCGAAGGCACCGCCTGTGGTGCAAGTCTAGGTGATCCACGGACCGTTTGGTAAAATGGTGTATTAGGTGCGGAAGCGGATCCCAACTGCGGAAAGTACGTCTCTTCAACCATTGGTGGAGGACTCAAAGTTCCAATGCTCCGCTGCTCAGTCCTCACACCCCCGTCCTCTGAGTCGGTATCCTCGTCGCGGGGATTCGCTCGGATTGTGGACCCGGACGAGGTGGATGTGGTCGACTCGCGAACTGAATCAAGATTGTTCCTAACTGGTGGTGTGGGGTTACGAAATCTGTGATGCGCCGGCGGGAAACCAGGAGAGTGAGAGGATATTGATGAAGGGGTGGATGAGTAACTATACCCTCCTGGCGACTCAGTATACCTCGTTGAAGGGCTACTGCTAGCCCCACTATCGTAGATGTTTATTGGAGCCGGAATATGTTGGTCTCGTGTCCGTAATCGGGGAGCCTCGCCCTGGGTGGATGACGAACTTTTCGATCGGGGTTTGCCCGTAGTGGAGGTAGGTGGCAAGGCTATCCCTAATATCGAAGTCTGAGAGGCGTTCTTCGACCCGCCGACCAGCGAAGACGAGGACGTAATCGAGGCAGTAGATGCGTTGAATGAAGTTGTGGAGCCTGTTCGCAGACTTGTCAATGAGAACGAGGCGGCTGAGGAAGCCGAGGGCTTTCTCCGTAATAGTGTTCGCGGTCGTTTCTCCAGCGAACCCGTAGCATGAGATACAGTGGGCCCTCCGAAGCCTGTATTGCTTTTAGAGGGCGGACTGGTCCTTGGTTTCAAAGTAGTAACGGGTGTCATTGTCGGGGAGCCAATAATAGACATAGGCTTTGGTAGGCTACTCTTCTTTGGATGTAATGATACTGGGGATTCCGCCCTCCGTGATGAAGCAAAGGTGTGCTCGCGCAGTGGTCTTCTTGTAGTAGGAGCTGACGGCGCAGGTGAGGAGGACTGCTCACTCCTAAGCTTCGAGGAGGAGGGCATGAGGCGGAGCTTAGGTAGTAATTGGGAAGTTGTGTGGGGAGGTAAGTGGTGGGGGGTCCGTTGCTGCTGGTCTCGAAATGCCATTATTGAATCCTGGTTCTGCTGGGATCTGTGGGAACTAGGATAGGATAAATTGAATCACTGCCTTGCCATGATCAACGCTGACTGCAGGCCTTCAAGCTGTGAGAAATAAAAAAATGTAACGCGACCCGTCAGCAATCATGAGCGGTAGTTGTAATGAACATAGGAAGAGAAGTGTGCTCGGGCAAGGCGAAATATGCGGAAAGGAAAAAATAAGAAAACAACCAAGCAAATATTAAACAATTAAATGTTCCCCCGCGTACCTTTTGTCTATTCGCACTATGCGGCGAAAATGTAATAATAAAAAGCTTGTCGGTTTCGGAGGGTTGGCTCTCTCTAGTAACTCGGTAACAGCCCACACACCCGATAAAGCGAGAATGACTTTCTTTGCGAAAGGTAACCCCCCCCCCCGGAAAATCAAGAATATATATGGCCTAGCCAAAAATAAGTAAAAGCGTTGCAGCAAATCCAACCTATGCACGATGAGCTCAGTAATTGATGAGTTGTTTCGCGGGCCCTTTGTGGCGGCTTAGAGCTATGCGGTTGTTGAGGCGGAGTCCGAAAACGCTCAACCAAGGGTACCGTGGCAGGTACCTCCCCAAATCTTTGACGCTCGGAGTACCGGTACAACGCCGCACAGAGACAACGAGTACCGTATTAAAAAGCTCGGACCAAAGAGGCCCTCAACAAGAGGATGAAAGAAAATAGGGTAGAGAAAGCGAAGCAGGGGATCAACACCGCCCGAGTTGGATGGAAAGCAATTGTTGTCCTCCTCCGAGATGCAATGGAGAGTAAGGCTATCGATCCGAGATGGAGCCTTATTCGGCAGGGCTTGATTTGAGATGAGTTCGGCCCAAGCTTTCGCCAGCTTCTCCCTCTTTTCCTCTTCTTCTCCTTGCCCTACTTCTCCGTCTCTCTAGTCCCAAGCTGGTCTGCGACAGATACAATAAGAAAGTGTAACCAGAACCGATATCCCCAAGCCGAGTAAAATTGTCGATGAAATGGTGGACGATAGAAAATATCGACAATCGATAGAAATCGCCGGTTCGTACTTGATCCTTCCTCCAAACAAAGCAAGGAAAACCCCCAATGGATGATCACAGGCGGCGCTCGAAACAAAATCGAACCCGAAATCGTACCCGAAATATATATATATATATATATATATATATTTTTGCAAAAACGATACCGTGCTTTAAACAACAAAGTCTAGAGAGAAAGATTCAAAAGGAGGGAAAGAAAAGAGCAGGAAGTGGAAAAGAACCGAGAAACAGACCAGGAGGAAAAAGCGGCAAATGGGTTATTATCTACTATAAATCGAGGAGAAGTGAGAAATTCAATTGATAGAAGGGTATTGGACGGAACGGGCCTCTCAATAATGGGATCGGGGAACTGGAAAAAATGAAATAAAAATAAAATAGAAAAATAGAGGACGGGGAATAAAGCGTACGAGCATCGTATTGCCACTAGAGGAAAGAGGGGAATACAAGAAAGCAGCCGCAAAAGAACAGGGAATGCTAAGGTCGGCCGCTCATAGGTGAGAGGAACTGGCGACCAACCATGGCCTTTGGCCGCCCCTCACAATCGCAGCCAGGGTCAGTTTTCAGTCCTCCAAACCCATCCATCTGGTTGGAGAGAACGGATATGCGGAGCGCTCGCCCTGGGAAAACCCACAGATGGAGGGAGGCTAGCGACCAACCACAGTCGTAGCACCTTCCACCGCCGAGTGATAGGAGGAGCCAATTGCGACCAGAAGTAGCACTCTGCAATGGAAGGCGACCGTTCGCGAGTTCCCTCCCCTGCTGCAGTACCGTATGTCCATACCCTAGTTCCCCCACGCAAGTGGAAAGGATTTGGTCCCGTGGAGATTTCATGAAGCCTTCCTATCATCAACGGCGAGTTACCGCGGTGGTACCTGTGGCTACCGTACAGGCTCGCACCATTTGATCGTACTGTACGGGTCACAATACGCATAAACCAGTCCCACGTCTCCAAGGCACAGTAGAGGAAGGGTAAGTACCCTTTTTTCTTCCCCCCTCCACCGGTATTTCAAAACCATCTCCTCATTCGCATGCACAGGAGCATGTGCGGACAAGTTCAAAATCAAAGGTTGTGCGAGAAGAAAAGAAAAAAAAAATCCACGAACCAGTGAATGTCGTTTCCTGATAAGTATCCCCACCCAGCTGCAACCACGAGAAGCTCATCCAATCCGTATCGATCATACGGTAGAAATGCCCCTCCTCGGCGCGGCTAGAATGATCAAGATATTTCGACCTCCTCACCGCTTCGCCGCCTAGTTTGGGAAGCGGGGGTGTTGAATTTGGTAAGCGCCGTTTTTCACCTCGCAGCGTCAGATTCATGCGTTGCCAGGATCATGGACAAAAGGGAGGGGAGAGACGAAAAGAACAAAAAAACCCAGACAAAAGGTTTGTTTTTTTTCTCTTCTTCCTTTTCGGCTCCGTTTGCCCTGCCCCATTCTCTGCTCTCCTCCGCGATGGTTCATCGCAATGTGGAGGGTCCATGCGCCCGCTGCCTTGGTTTCATTTCCATCATACGGTACCCTTTCTAACCGTCAACTGCTCGAGTCCCATAAGCCAGAGGTGCAAACCCTCAACTCAACCAGCCAGTGGGGACAGAATGTCGGCCCGTACGAGAATAGAAACAGATTAATCTTACGACGAAGAAGAAAATCTACCCGTACCTCACCCCGATACCCATCAAAGAACGAATAGGGGAAAAGGAGCACGTACCCAACCCAACAAAACCCACTAAATCATATCCAGACCTGAATAAATCCAACCGAACCCTACACTCACCCACCCCCACACAATCGCACAGTTGTGCCGTACAAAAAACGTTTTCCCATTCGATAAAGCTCAAAGCAGAACCCATCGTTTCCATTTTGGATTAACTCCGCCCCCAATCTTAAATAAACATCTCAATGGCCTCCCAAACGAGCTACGAGTTAGACATCGATACCCCGCCAAGGAAGTGACTGGACCTGTCGCACTGACCGAGCAGAGTGAGCACTTTCATAAGTTGGATTAAACGAAGCCAAAATGATAGCCATAGCTAGGGAAGCACAAAACCCCCATCCAAGTGCTACCTTACCGTACTCGTGCGAAGACCGGTAGGGGAGACAACCTCGGGAAAAGTACCCACCACCCTATCTAAGGAGCTCCTATGGTGATACCGTAGGAACCGTCTCCGACTCGAAACCTTAACCATACGGTAAACCTTAGTACCGCCATTTATCACGAGGCGGAAACCCCCCAGCGCAGACACGTACGGTAAGTTACTTGTATCGCAGAGAACCGTGCCAATGCCGGTACAGTACGGTACTGTACCGGTACCATAAACCCATACCACAACCCAGCACAGCTGAGCTGCACGCAGGTCGCTCGCTCCCATCCTCCCCCATACCATGCGACAAAGCAACCCAACCCCCCGGCCTCCGGTACCTGGATCCTGCACGAAGATCACATCCGACCCGATCTATCATCTAACTTATGCTCTTCTATCCTGGCTTCCTGCTTGTATTTCTTCCCTTCCCCTTACTTGTACTAGTACTTCCCATGCCGCACTTGTACCATGCCGGGATCCAGGGAATTGAGTGGGCGCCTCGGCGTGGCGCGGTACAGTAATTCGGGGCCGATACCTGCTCTGCTGAGATTCGGCGTGGCGTGCTTGCATTGCATTGCATGCGCTCAGCTTTCCACACTTCGCCGTGGCCCCTGGGCACTCGTATGGCACGATAAAAAAGCTCGCCCAGCGCAGCGAGTCAAGGTGAAAGGATCCCGCTCTTGTCGCCCATTCTGTGGTACGATGATAGTATTGGTGATTACCTCGGGAAACCAGGTAGGAGTCTGAATTTGATTTTTTTTTCTTTTCTTTTATCTGCCGGACTGTGGTTCCAAGGCTAGAAGATCGAGTCACACGGGTTGTATGACGTAGTACGACACATCGCACGGATTTGAGTCGGGGAGGTTACGAGCGACATAAGTTATGTGTCTCTGGTTTGTGCTGGAGGAATTCTTCAAGGCGACGGGTGGCACTTGTACCAGTAGCAGTGCACACGCCACGTGCCAACTGAAGTCGTGACTCGTGAGCGATAGGAGCCCTGCCGATACCCTACTGACTTGGTATCGTGAAGGGAGCGGTGGAATTATCAGTATTTGTCGTCATAACTCGCAACAGAATGGCGGGATTAAAGCGAGCCACAATACCGTAAGGGTTCGAATTTACCCGTAAACGGGGAAACTTAGCTCCGGATATCATACCCACCACAGCTTTTCCTGACTCTGGCGGCTGGAAATCTGCAAACCCCCTTTCACGAGAAACTACCGGAGTTGTCAACCTGCTAGATAGGAAGAAGAAATAAAAGGGGAGGGGCCACAATAGCATCTTATTTTTAAATCATCCTCACTATATAACTGCACGGTGCTTTCGCCTTACTGCTATAGAAAAGGGAAGGTTAAAAAGTGAGTCAAGGCAGAAGTCAGATAGATTCCGAGTGATGTGTTGTGTGCCGGCAGATCTTAGCCCCGATCTGATTAGATCAGGCAGAATCAAGTCAAGACTGGGCGTTTCTCCGAAAGGCACTTACCGGTAGATGGGGTGGATAAATAAGGTTGCGGTGTCGGGTGCTTTGTTTCTATCCCTTCATTACATATTCTGGGAAATAAGCTTACGACGCCTTTCACGCAGTGATCGCAGTCGTTTCGTTGCCATTGATGCTTTCTACGGCACTGGATTCCCGTCTCCTAAACACCTGAAGGGTCCGGAGTTTGAGGCGGTTGGGGACCAGATGGGATAGCATTTGGAAGTTTCCCTGGGACCTTACCGGTGGAGATAATTGTATTGCGGGGTGTAATTTTTGCATAGCAGAAGGGCTCGGACTGCGGAAACTCTAAATATGCCAGCGACAAGAACCCGGTATAATATAATACCTGAACGGAGGGATAGAAGATTTGGACGGCTGATTATCCGCGTGGATCTGAGCT